GATAGGTCTGCCGTCTATAACGTCTACGTGGCGTGGTATTTTGAGTGGGGTCATGGTGAGATTGTTGTGGCGTGCAAAAGATTCATCGATGAAAGCATATCCTGAGGCTCCGGTATCAATAAGGGCGTAGGTGGGTACGAAAGTATTTTTATTCTGTGAAATTGAACAAGTTACTACAAATTGGTTCCCATCCATTTCCTCCTCTGATACCGAAAAACCAGAAATATGCATTTCAGAAAAATCCTTAAATGGTCCCTGGGCTAAGCCACTTAGTGCAGGGACAAATCTTTTGCCGACTCGTTATCGCTTCCATCATTTTCCTCTACCCTCAATGCTGCTCCTCTCATCACCGGTCTCCTTGGTTGATTTCCAGTTGCCCTTGCTTGGGGGCAATCCCTAACCATATGTCCGACTCCTCCGCAATAGAAACATCGGCCCTCAGCTAAGCGGGCGTTTCTTTCAGTAGGGGTGGGGCGACGACGTCCCCCGGACAGATCCATTGGTACATCACCTCCCGGGCAAAACGAGGGATGGTTCTCAGGAGTAGGTGCATTGACAGCTGGGGCGGCAGCGCGAGGGGTAGGAACAGGATTCGCTGGTGGGGGACGAGGGGTCGGAGCAGCAGTAGCACTCCAAGGCTTTTTACTTCCTCGCTTAGCCTCTGCCGCTCGTCGTCGATTATCTAACCGTTGCAAAAGTGTCGCGCAGGCATCTACTGTCGTAGGAGTTTCATGGTGTATCATCGATTCATCGAGTTCCGCGTTAATGCCCTCCATCAAAGCCTCAATCCGAGAGACTTCATCCATTCCTGATTCAGCAGCGTACCGTTGAAATTCGGCGAAATAGTCAGCAAAGGTTCGATTTCGCTGGCGGATGTTCCTGAGATTCCTTCTAGCTGTGCGCATTCGATCAGGGTCCCCGAACGCAGTATCTAAGATTTCATAAAACCGCAACATGGAAGGCAAAGCGATGCCTTCTTCTCCGACATATTGTAAGAACTGATTAGCGGCAACACCCTCTATCCGACTGAATGCGTAGGATAACTTGTACTGTAGTGTGGGAAAGCGGTCGGCATTTCCCAATAGTTTAATCCTCATCTGTTGTTTGAATAGGTGTAATCTTTCTCGATCGCGATCTCCCCTAAACACCTCAGGATCTGGGAGCTTTTCCGACCGCTGGGTAGTAGCCACAACAGGTGGTATTGGAGGCGCGGGTGGAGCATCATCACCACCAATCGGTTCTTCATCAGGGGCAACTACTTCGACAGCGACCCGCTGGGTTCGAGCAGCAGCAAGGTCTCGTTCGAACATCTCCCTTGCATTTCCAGCCTCCCTCTCCACCTCTTGTAAGTCCGTTGCATACTGAGCGAGACCGTGTTGGGCCCTTTGAAGAAGTGCGTAAGCTTCTATCCCGACAGTGTTATCGACCTGTGGATGTTCTTGGAAGAAGGTTTGAAGGGTGTCGCTTAGTTGTTGATAATCGATAGGAACGTGTTCCGACATTGTAGGCTATAGTGTTGTATTGGTTGGCGATAAAGGACGGAACCTGGTGTAACGGTGGTCTATGGACGTAGGGACTATGGTGCCAAGGAATACAACCGAGGCGAGGACGTGGCAATAGGTATTCAGGACTATGGGCTATGGAGTGGCTCTATCTAGTTTGACAACTAATTGAACCTAGGACGAGGCGTAGAGCAAAAGTAGTATTCGTTGGGGTAGATACAGGAGGTTCCGTGAAGAGGAGAGGAAAGGAAGGAAAACATGAAAAGGCACGAGACAACACCCCCTTATATATCCAACTCCTAGTCCGTTGATGACTAATATCTTGCGTAACGGAAACCGAAAGAACATAACAGAAAACCCATTACAAATCATAGTCCAACTGCGCGATTCCTTCTCTTCACAACCCAATCTATCACCTTAGCCGAAATATAATATTGCCGTTACAGATATCACATTTCCTATATTTACCAGGCATCAAAAGAATACGTGTCACATTGTAGCAGTAGCTAGACGATGCATTGGTAGCAACAGATGAGGTTTTGGACTCGGAAGACGAATTTGGACATCTGGATGCACGGATTCGTCCTGGCGAAACTCATTTTTTGCTGATGTAGTACCGAAGTATTTATCAGCATTGGCTATTCTTTTCTATTCGCTTTCAAGACTAAAGAATGGCTTCTGGTAAGACTTGCATCGGTAGTAACCCTTTTGAGCTAGTGCGGGTTGAATTGTATTCGGCAATGCATCAGGATTGGCTGTTTTCCCCATTTCCTACAGCAAAGTCTGCTTTCCTCTCAGCCACTTCTAATTATGATAATAAAGTGTTGGATATCGCATTCTGTGAGTTGGCACGATGGCCAGGTCGGTGACGGTTACACCGGAAATGATGAGGATTTCGGCATCAATCACTAATGGCTTGCTGTAGTACCCCAGCCTGTTGAGATATCTCGGTTTGAGAATGCCGGTCTTGAAATAAAGTATACACTAGAGGAATTCTGCAACGCACAGTATCGACTGTCTAGGATCTTTTTCAGGTTGTTGCCATGGATAACTGTGACTGGATCACAACCAGATGCGGGAAATCAATAGCGGAAGCTAAAAGTTCTGTTATGATAGCGGAAAGATGCCGGAAAACATCAAGCTATCAATAACATATCCTACGGCTTTATTACTCAAAAATAGTTAAGAAAAAAGCCGAAATATCTTAATCAAGGCTCATAATATATATCCATTTCGATTTCGATTCTATTGAAAGTATTATGACTGTTTTTAGTGACTGTAATTGTAATTTGTAGTGATTGGAATGGGAACTGGGGATTTTATAACAGCTGACCTGGGGCAATAGCGATCCCTCAACAGCAGAAACTCATTTGGCAACTGTCCGCTTGTTGCACTTCAGGGAACTTCACTACCCGGGTCACCGATAGCTAACGGAAGTCGCTGAATCCCTCTATTCTTCCTCTAGTAGGCATCGCACAGTGGCCATTGGGCCTGTTACGGGAGTGGAACTCATCGTTGGCGCGTGTATGTGGGGAGTTGCCCGGTGCAGACGCGCGACCAGGTTCTTTTGACCACGGGCTCATACAAACTAGAGTTTTACGTACTAATTAGAACAGGTCTCATCTTTCTTCGTCTATAACATAACATATCTTCTGGCTTGTTGTTTGTCGACTAGTCTTGGAGTGGTTAAATATAATAGCGTATTAGACCTACATGTAATTCTAGTCTCGTACCCAGACCTATATTGAACATTGTGTGTCTCTACGAGGTGCGACAATAAGAGTCTGTGAACGATATTAATCTACACCCAATTTAACTTCGTACCCAGTAATGTATTTTGTGGTTCTCGTGCAGTACATTCTTACATTTAACGTAGGGAACGAACCCGGGCCCCATCGAGACGTGAGAGATGAAACCGCGCAGAATGGTTTTCCTGAGACAGCAGAAAAGACTTTGATAATGCCAGCCGATACCTAAGTGTCAGTATAGCATTCTCAATATCAAGTCCTGCTTCTATATCTTAACAAAGCGTTCATACTTTCAATAAAATGGACGCAACACAATTAACACCAATGTAGCCAGCCGGAGCTAACTACCAGGAGACTTAAACGTATCCTATACTTCATGCAAATTGTCAGCTAGAAATTGAACTCCATAAATATGAATGATCTTCATTTCAAATTAGTTTATGGCTAACAGCTCACACTTCATCTCAGGCCTACAAGATATGCCAACTTTAAAAAAATTCAGAACACCACTCGTGATAAGTTACGACTCTTAATAACTTCCCCTCTAATGCTATGACCGACAAGCAGAGGTTACACTTAGGGCCCGTTTGGCAGTTTCATGGTTATGAAGCTCCGTTATGCAACGACTCCATTAGACGAGTGCAAATGGAGATTTTTGAAAACGGAGTTTGGGCTTCCCAAGCAGCAGTGTAGTTAGGTAATATCTACTTTTCAAAAACTCAGTTTCAAAGCCCTAACGGAGGTTCAAAATTGGCATGCCAAACACAAATATTTCTTGCAAAGCGGAGTTATGAAATAAATGAAACGGAGTTTTCCCGTTGGCATACAAATTTGCCGTTTGGACCTGCTCCCAAACAAGCCCTTAGTCTTCTAAAGATCTCCGCGGTCCTTGGCTATATATGAGCGCTGACTCGTTGAAAAACAACCGTGACACTATCATGATGCCTTATCCCTTCGTCTGGCAAAAAATGCTGACCCCCCAAAAAAAAGCAAACTTTTGTGTGGCTTTACTAACAGATCCTGTTGTCTCTCTTATCAAATAATAGATCTCCCATACAAATTTAATTCCTCTATTATAGGGGGGTCAGCATTGCCAGACTAAGGGATAAGGCCTCAATATTATATCTTTTATGCGATAGGCCCGAGATCCCGTTCAAGCATTCCACTTACACTAGCAACCGCCTAGAGTGCAGAGTAAAAAAGCATCTTACGATACCTGTCCTAACGAAGGTTCATGAGTCACTGACGGGAAGGAAATCTAGCCCGTTCTTATTTCTGTGGATTATTAACGGATTATATATTATCATTATAACCAATCGCTACTATACGTTACCTTAAATGATAGAATGCCTAGATTAGTACATGTACTCATATCGGAGCTACAGAGTCCTTATATCCAGTATTGCGAGCACTAAACTGGATGCTTTGCATGTGAGCTCCAACTTGCATACAGATTATCGACTGACCCATGTGCAAAAAAGGCAAACCTTACCAGATCTAGAAACCCTTACAGACCACCGGTGAGAATAACACAGTAGCGTAGCCGCGTATCTTCATCTGCATCCTCAACGGCAGATCTATTTGCCGGGCCATGGTCCCAAGAGATTTACGTCATGACTCGCCAGCTACCCAGGAGATTTGATAGTATATAAGGGTTGAAGATTCCGTTCACTGGACTCTTCAACTTCAAGAAGCATCCAATTCAACAATCAATTTCTACCGCACAGAACCCACCCACCCAACAAATACAATGCCCGCCAACGCAGTCCCACCAGCCAAATGTCTCTGCGGCGGTATCAAACTTACTTTTGAGGAAGATGCTGAACCCGAGGTTAACTACTGCTACTGTAAGCACTGCTCAGCTGGCGCCGGCGGACTCTATCAGCTCAATTTCGCTTTCAATGAAACTGCGGTCACTATTGAAGACCCCCAAAAATTGATGGCGGTTTACATTATTACCGGCTGCGAGAGTGGAAAGCCAAAGCCAAAGTACTTTTGTGGAAAGTGCGGGTGCACGATGTTTACAAAGCCGGAAGCTCTGCCGGGGAAGATGTTTGTCAAAGGGAGTCTAGTGGAAGGGGGGTCAGTTGTTCTGTCCGGCATCGATTCCGCAAGTGTAAGCTTCAATGACTGACCAAAATCGTAAAGATGCCAGAATTTTAAGCCAACTGCGGAGTTATTCATCAAGTACCGACCTTCATTCGTGGTCCCAGTGGAGGGGGCAGCCCAATTGGAATCTCAGTAGAAATGTATCTTTAGAGAGTTGACGCAGAATTCATAGCTATAGTCTCTTGGTAAGCAAATATTTGGCTCAAAATGTGCATAAACCAATCCCAGTCACCTGGATAGATGGCCGAGTGGTTATGGCGCTAGCTTCAGGTGCTAGTGGGGCAACCCGTGTGAGTTCGATCCTCACTCTATTCATTCACTTTTGCTCGTTATTATTATCGTTGGTGGTTCTTCAGTGCATGGTTGTTGAGTAGATGACATGAACATTTGTTTTTTTTACTAAGTAACTTGCCGGTTGTACCTGAGAGTAGTAATATACTTACATGCCAGGAAGCTGGAATTACATCCTGAATATGATATGCCGCTAGTAAACCGGTATTAGATGTGGCTTAGCGCAATTAGACAATTAGACACTTTTGCGCACGTAGAGTATTAGAATATCGATACCTATAGAGCTACTGTAGCACTGAAGTACAGATCATCTAAATTAATATGGTACATGTATTATATATACTTCTTGTCCAAGTACCACGGAGAATTGTGCATATACGTACTAAGAATTAAAAAAAGGTCATCACAATCGTTCTCTAGTTGTTTATTCTCTTAACAGGACTCAACCAAGCCTGGGATTCATTATGATTGAGTAGATTTGGTCAATACCAATATATCCATTGTCGCTATGTAACGTCGAAGAGCCTTCAACCCCACGTCACAAATTTCAGGCACCCAAATTCATTAACCGCACGAAACCTCAATATTGCCTATCAATTGAAACAGAAATCTTGAGTTAAGGAGGTCCATGATTGTCAGAGCCTAATAACAATTTTAAAGATATTATCGGGAGAAATTTAATTAGGGCGTCACTCGTAAAGTTCTGCAGTCTGTTGGGGGCGGTTTGGTCTCGTATTTTTATAGAAGCCACATGCGCCACACCACCTGATGTGGGGGAAATATGTACGAATAACGGAGTGTATAGATGAATTGGAAGACTCTAGTAGGTAAATGGCGAATTCTTTCAAAAGCCTTCTATTCTCAGCTTCAATAATTTGGTATTGTTGGTTGCCTGAAGAGTCATCTATGTATGGAGGCACAAATCAGGCAAAACGTCGCAGGGATTTTATAAAAGGATCACAAGTCCTCGCAAATAATTACATGTATGCCTTCCCATCTAACCAGACTGTACGGTAAACAAAGGGTCTTTTACGAACCCTCCTCCTCCTTTTCCCCTTCCTGAGCTCGAGGCTGTGGATTATAATCCCCTGCCAGGACTATGATAACTAAGGCCCGGCTTTACATTATTCCCAGATAACGATTACGATACTCCCATTAGAACTGGCAACGAATCCGAGCGAACCAAGATATAAGATCTAGAAGAAATGAGTGCCGATAATATCACCGTGGGCTCTATCGAGAAAACCTGTTACTTCTGGAATAAGACCGGCCAGTGTAAGCATGGAACGAAATGTAATTTTCTCCATCGCGATACACCAATCATAGCAGACCCTCCGAAATCATGGATCGATTATGGCGATAAAGGTAAGTCAAGTGCGTTTAACTTTTAGTTAGGATTCCTGTGTTAATTCATACTATTTAGGCCCCCCACTGAAGGCAACGAGGGCCCCGAGGGTACAAAGCAACATCAGGGATAACTCTGAAGATGGGAATAGTAGAGAAAAGGTCTTTGAGCCTAACCATAAAGTTATGGAAGACGAGCTCGATTGGGAGCATCATATACCAGCAAATGAATGGGATCAGCAATCCTCAGGTATCAAAAATACTTGGGACGAAACCACGCCCACGAAGGCTGATGATTCCTGGGGAGCCCAAGCTAGTACTAGAGTGAATGTAACCGAATGGTACCCACCAAAAGCTAACGTAAGTTCATGATATCTGTAGACTTGAGGTTCGCGCACTAAACCATGTTCATCAGGGTACCCATTCTGTGACGGCATCTACATCTGCATCCAACAAACCAGCGACGCCTGTTCAACATGCCGATTTTACTGAGACCCCTACAGTCATTGGAGACTTATGGGAAACTTTACTACCAATTGATTTTACGGAGTACAGAGACTTAAGAAAAAAGTATGCCATGTCGGATCCAGAATTCGATGTTAATGCCTTGGTTCTGCTCTTGGCTGCAGAACCCTTTCAACTTTCAGACGTTGAGCAGTATTTAGGTGGATATTCAGATCAAGATATTTATCTAGATAAGGCTTCCAGATTCGAAAAGCTCCCACCTATATTTTTTGCTGTAGCCACAAACGAACCTAAAGCATTGAAACTTCTCATAGCTCGAGGCATATCTGTAGACGCGAATGCTGGTCCAGACAACATACCGTTGTTAGCTTTTGCTATCATGCATGGATCAAGAGCCGACACCACTGAGATGGTGCGGATTCTACTAGCCAGTGGAGCCGACCCTACACACATACCCGACGAGTTTATTTCTTTCGATCATTATTCATCAAGCCACCATAGATTCTCCAGGTCATCTAATAGCGAGATACCATCATGGCTGTCAGAGAAGTATAGATTTAAGCTTGCCAGCACCATCAATATCTCGCAGAGATACTGGTTGTTGAAAGCGAGAGGTTTACGTCCACGGACGGATCGTGAGCATTTAATCGCTAGAATGGAAAGATGTCCAAATCTGTTTCAGATGCCATTTTGTCTGGTGGGTCAGAGTTTTGCAACAAGCTTTTTGATGCGGAGAGTATTGAGCCACTTACTACTCTCCAAATCGAATGTGAAGCCTCTGGTTGTAGCTTTTGTCGGTGAGCACACGATGTTATTTTTTGCCCACCATTAAAACATAGGTTATCTAACTCTATATTCAAATCCTTAAATCTAGGTCCAAGTGGACATGGAAAGACTGAGCTAGCTAAGAGCATGCGCACATGTTTATCAGCAGCATTCCTGACCATCAACTGTGCCGAAATGACCAGCACTGCTGATCTTTTTGGCTCAACAGCACCATCCCCAGGTTACGAACAGGGCTCGGCCTTGAACAACTTTTTATGTCGCAACCACGGGCAAAGATGTATTGTGTTTCTGGATGAATTCGAGAAAATGGGACCTGCCGTGCACGAATCACTTTTAACCCCATTTGACGAAGGTTTGAATATTTCTAGACTTGGTCGATGAGATACCCAACTGATGAGATTAGGCATATACCGCGACCGTCGGGCCGTTAGAAACGATACGAAGATAGATTGTTCAAAAGTGATATGGATCCTTGCCACCAGTAAGGTGGATAATATTATTGAGCCATATTACAGGGCCAATGTCGAGGCCTTCCAAAATCCCGATAACCAGGATCAACAGCTCCTCGCGAATATCATGAATGAAATTGAAAGCAAGTTCTTAAGAAAATTCAGCATCGAACTCGGGGTACGTACTCTATACTAGACCGTCAGGGTAGGTTTCTAATCGTGTGTATAATAAAGACAACATTCGCTGGACGAATCTCCATGGTCCTACCATTCCTTCCGTTCTCGCCCGCCGAGCAAGCTGTAATTGCGCACAAGTATCTGCTTGAACTTAAACGTACACTTGCAGCCGATGTTAACAAAGAAACAATCATGGGGCATATTAAACTTGAGGTTGAAGGGGAGGCAGCAGTTTGCCGGCATATAGCCGAAAATGGTTACGAAATCGAATACGGGGCACGATCTATTGAGCGTGAGATGCATAAGTCAGTGCGCGATGCTATTACACAGGAATGGTTAGGGTCTACAGACTGGATTCCTTCCCAAAGAAAGAATGGTCCATATGAAAGATACCTGGTGTCCCTTGACCCCGCAAAAGAACACGTTGTTGTATGCAAGATCCTTGATAAGAAGGGTAGGACGAGGGCGAGGCAGAACAGAACTTCGGCAAGGCCGGCAGCTGGCCAAGGTGGTTCACAATTCGAGAGCTCAGTCGGAGTAAGATCAGGAACGCCAAGTAGTGTTGGTGGTATGAGATCATTAAGAGTAGGAAGACTTATAGATATCGAGCTGGTGAATGGATGGGAGGAATAAGTGCAGACTTGTTTCGCATATGATTGGCTGATTGATTCATTGTTGGCTGGTTACTTCGTTAATTGTTTCGGATATGGATGGGTATGAAGACGCGATTCTTTTGGTTTAATTTATCAGTAGGTTTATAAATCAATTATCCCATCAAAAGGTATTCTGGGTTATAACGACCCCCTTGGCTGCTTTGCAGGTATGTGCAGATTTATCAGTATACGTATCAGCATAGTGGTTGCATAGGATTGAACGACACCACTTAGCCTATAAAAACGCAATCATGATATATCTGATCTGCTGTCTTCTGATTTTGACCTTATTGAGCTTGAACCCGTAGTCGTGGAATTTTGACAAGTAGACTGTTCTAAGTATGTACATGTATTCAGAAGGATTCAGAACTGCTCCAACCTTCGAATCGCAATCTCATATATACCACTCCACCTCTGTTAGTGTATCAAACCTTCGGCGTCATCTTTGTAAACAAACGCTAATGAGAATTACGGTGGAGACGGTTTATAAATTATGATCTACTGCAACCGCCTATCACAGAAACGTATGTATGTATGATCCAATCGTGTAAAGTATTCCAACTATGTACATGAAGTACGCTTGTTGAGCAGAAACACTTACCTAAGCCAATTAACTGTTGCAGGCAGAACTTCTAGTTTAAGCCTGTCCTTCGTCCATGCCCATGTAATTTGACAATCGCCTGGAGAGAATAAATGCTAGACCGAGTGAGATCTTGTGCGCCAAGCCAAATTATAGCACGTCAGAATAACGAACGGACTACTCTTGCTGGGGTCTCTAATATTACTGTAAAAGCTCCATAGAGAAACCTTTTGCGCTTACCCGGCTTGCTACTTCCTACTTACTGGCAAGCAGTCCACCCCACAAAATATGTACTTGAATGGTTCAACAGCATGATAGAGAGGAAGGTGGAGGGGGCCAAAGGCCCCATAAGTGCGGAGAGAGAGGAAAAAAGATGGTGACCCGAAGAGTACCCAGTTACACAAAACCAGGGGGGTTTAACGACCTCATGAAGTTGAATTACAAAATAATAACGTCACGGGAGCTGGCGGGAATGAAGCTGGCAGATCTAGAGGAACGCTCGAACTGGCAGCCAACTGGGGATATCAGAAGTAACAGCTCGCGGTCGCGAGGTATGTAGATAGACCCCCTAGTTATATGTACCTTTGCTGAGCGGAATTATAGTTTCTAGTCCACCAGTTGAAACCACGTGACATTTACATCAGGGGGTTCAGACCATTTTACCACCAGTATATTTTTATATTTTAGCCCACAGACCTCCCACTCTATCAACGCCCCTAAAGGCGCGCTAGTGCGGCCTCACCTTTTTTTTCCTCATTGATTGCCAAGCCGGTTTATGCTTTCAGAGACCTGCCTTAGTTAGGTCTGAGATTTTTCAGGTAATGAAAAACTCAAACTATTAGTGTTTCTCTTCCTTAACCCATTTTAATAGATTAGAAGTCTATTCTAAAAAAAAAAAAAAAAAAAGCAACGAAATCTTGTCTAAGATAGAAGCGGAGATCAGTTGGATCTTAAGCCGCGATACCATGAATCATGTTTTGCGAGGGAATGAGAAACGCATACAAAAGATATCTAGGAAGAAAAAACTCCATACCAAATGCCGAAACAGGAAATATGAGAGACGCAAATGTTTCCACTGTCAATCAATAGAATCTAAGAAGATGCCATCTAAGAGTTAAACGCAACAGCTGAATCCTCATCCTTGTCCTCCTTCTTGATCTCGGGCTCAGATTGAGAATCAGGCACGGACGGTCTAGCAAAGGTCGCGGCGACAATCATAGGGAATGCAATGGTGGCCTCAGCGTACACCTGTGAGATAGCCGAGTCAGCTAGTATAGATTCCATAATGGTACTTAATTCACTTACTTTAACTGCCTCTCCGTCCATCTTAATCTTTCCCCAACTGACCGCCTCATCTGGCCTTGCCCCAGCATCGGAGCCATCAAACTCACTTGCTGTATTGATAAATACAGCATACTCCGCTCCATTTCTCATCAGGCAAGCATTGGCAATATGATGCTTCACAATGCCCCCTCCCAAGATCATCGCGCCGACCTTCTCGGCACGAACAGAAAGCGAGTTAATCTTTCTGATATCGCCCACAATATCACATTTCAACTGTTTTGGGGAGCTTTTGTATGTGTGGAAATACAGCATATCTCCAAGGCTCCCATCGGTCAGAGCAGGACAGAAAACCGGAATATCATTCTTCCAAGCCCAGTAATAGACACTTCTTTCATCGTTAATTTCCTTTCCTAAGCGTGCTATCATCTTTGACGGGGTCCAGATACATTCAGGGTCTGCCTCCTGCTCTTCAAGCATGGCGTCGAGAATAGGGACGACCCAATCCTCGAAGAGGCAGTAGTTGTTGTTCGGAACGATAAGATTACCGATGCGATTCAGGCCCTTCTTACGCAGTGTAGCACCATCAAGATTGAAGGCACCCATATATGTAGAGGCGAGGCATTTAATGAAGTCCTCCTCGACTCCTCCTGCTGTGGTCACAATGGCCGAAACATGTTTGTGTTCAACCAGGTACCGGAGTGTCTCACGAAGACCAGAGGAGATCAGGTTGCTGGTGTACCCCAAGAAAATAGTAGCTTCTTTTCCAGTCTCTGGGGAACGGTAGGTACGCATCGCATCAACAAGCTTACAAGCTCGTGCAAGATTTGAGCCCTGAAAACCAATAGTTTCCATACCTGTAATTAGGTCCGAGACCGTTACATGGCGGCCCTTGAAGTTGTTGAAGTCAATACCTTTGACTTCACGAGTAGTCCATGACTCAGGGATTGGATCGGACGGTTTCAGGACTGCATCAGCGGCACCAGATGGGCGATCTTCCGTGTTAGGCTCCTCAGATGCAGCGGGGGCTGTGGGGAATCGGGGGGTGGCGGAAAAGTGATAAAGGATGTTTCCTCAGTTTGAAGTGTAGTTGTGAGAGGGGTAGCCATATTCTTTGTTTATTACGTAGGGGCGGATAGATTGCTGGTTTGAATTCTTGGGGATATCTAGGGTTGCAGTTGTTTGGGGATGGGTGCGGCCCAGAAAAAAAATTTGAAGTTTGCCCCACTATCTCACCCCGCCAATCCTTATCGATAGTTAACCGACGGCAACTTCCGCTGTCATGTTCGCTGCAGGTCTGGGCAACTCCAACTTCACTCAATCCCAATCGTGATATAAGCTATATCTAGTAATTACACCCCTCTTAATGCTGTTTCGATAACTGATTGAACCAATAGGTTATAACCTGTGACCTTGGTGTATTTTAGGACATGTCGTATCAGTTGAACCTCAAGGCCAGGCGTTTGGCTATTCAGACAAGTGTAAATACACTTCACAACTTAAGTCATACACATTTCTGCGGTAAATAAGTATGCGGCATAAATGACGCTAGCTCCAAGGATCGTGTTGCTCTATCGCACGGAAGTCCCGAATACTCTCGGTGCGTCAAGGGCTCGGCATACATACGCATTATTGCATTCTCCCGGGGCGAGTAAGAACCGAAGGATACGATGTTCGCGGGACCGGAATCCGGCACTGGTCATCAATCAAACTACGTGGAATATACATCTGTTCTACATATGTACTCTAGAATAAGTCGAGGGTTATGTCCTCGAGCACTATTCGTTCTATCCCTTGTCACGACTGCCCAGCCCTATTTTATTGGATCCTGTTTTTCAAGATTTTCAATATTATCTATTCGGATGCATATCGTGCATATCGTGCATATCGGATTAAATTGTTATTGGCTTAGGCCTTTATCAAGCATTACTCGGCTTGTTCTCAATCATAGGCAGTTGACGCTATTAGATTCAAGTATTGGTCTTCCTTAGCGATAGGTTGGCAATACAGCCTTGCAGTTGTTTCCTCTTCGTGTTAATCTTGGGGACATCTCTTCATAAGTTTCGTTTCAAAACGAGTCCTCCGTAGGCAAGAACAAGACCACTCGGGCGATTTTCCACCACCTCTGCATATACTCCCACCAACAGCAAGCATCCTACAACTATCTGCTGGAGAGCACAAATAATGTTACCAAGAACCCTAGATGGTTGAATTAATGAGCAAAAACGGGCATTTCTCAAGAATTAAGAGTTTTTTTGCATTTCGCACAAGTTGCCTGTAGCCCTTCCAATCATAACCAACTACCCCCAAAGAATCCCGAGAGCACCCCAGCCAGTAATACTACATGTAGTTCGAAATCAAACTTTCTCATATGACTTTGTGATATACTCACAGCATATCTATCTTTTGTGCGTATCATGAGTGCATACTGTACGCGGGACTTACCTCTCGTTTTGAGTTCACTGCTTTTGATTTTCTCCTTCGAGAGTAGATCCAGTAGATTGGATGTTGAGGTCGTTTACAATAGCTTTTTGGAACCCCCCCTCCCTCTCCAAAGGAAAAGTGGGGATATGTACCTATAAGCCATGTGAGATTTTAAACTCAACGGAGTCTGGTCATTGTGTCTTTAGGTCTTGTGACAAGAATTACTAACTACAACCACACATTGTGGACACAATTAAATATCTAGTTTTCCGATTGTCCGGGGGGTATCCAGGCCGCGACTATCTCGTGGATCAAGAAGCCATCACGATCAGATCTTTTTTTATTCTAGGGTGTTTCTACATCTATTTGCAAATATTAATCATCGGCAATCACTCGATCAACCCTCAGCCGCACACAACACAGGGACCTCTCTACCTACACATACTTCAAGCTGTGACTGTGCTTTCGGTTTAGGTCAGAACAACACTACATGCACCTCATCAGATCCCTTATTTGCTTGAGCTCCCAGCATCGCGCTGATTTTCTGCCGTCTTTTTTTGCTTTTTCTTTTAGCTAGGTTTCAATAACGCTACATGTTCCCTCATGGCGATCGTACACTTCTTTAATGAACCATTGAAAACGTCGGATGCGGATATAGATGTAACATAGCAAGTTTATTAATTCTTATCTTACAAATGAGATTCATTACTGTCATTATTCGTCCATGCATGAAACAATCATTAACGCCGTACACGCCCCAAAAGTCACATCCTGCCGCCATTCCCTAGCCCCAGTACCACATACATGTATGATGGTACCCCATTTATACAGAATGCTCCAGTACAAATGTACAGTCTAGATCCAGATCTAGAGAGACATCAAAAAATAAAAATAAAAAAGAGAAAGAAAGAGAAGTCGCCAATAGCTTTCCTTTACCAAGCCATGTTGAAACCCTCGAGTTTCCTAACACAAAACTCGATCAATGCACCCCCGTTTTCGGCCATCCAGTTGCCGCCCCAAGTCTTAAGAGGCCAATCCATACGTAGATATTGGTCATCGACATACACATCTTCTACGTCTTCATCCTCCCAAAAGCTTTTGCGCGTTGTCAAATGATCCTCATCGCTGATGGGATCTCTGTACGCATGTCTTGAGATATCTAAAAAAAAATTAGTCGGTTATCAAATAGGCAAACGGATGACTGGATGATCATACTTGCGGGGTTGAATGGCAGGAAATGTCTTTTTTTGGCGGCCAGTCTCTTCGCCGTCCAATGAGGGGTGAGATCTTCGGATTTGCCAAACTTCTTCCTTCTGGGAGAGAGAATAGGTTCAAGCTTGCGGGGCGCTTTAGACATGGTGATGTTGAAACGAGACACACTCGGGCTTCGAGGTGTTCTCGGGGTTTTGGGTGCTGATGAAATCATTTTTGTGACTAAAATCGTTGTAAGCAGAGTGATAGCGGTGCTGGTGATTAGGTGATAAACTTACTCTCAAACTCATCCAACCTTGATGGCGCAAGTACTAGACGCCTTATTGTCTTCTTGACATCAATGGTGGGGACCTGAGGAGGAGAGTCCTCGACGACTACATCAGTGGTCTCGATGTCTTTGGACTCTTCTGCTTTGTTTGTCTGATGAGTCCCTTGTTTAGCCTCGTTCTGTAGTTGTTCTGCGCTGATGTCTTCAATGATTTGCTCAGCCATGTCTTCGTCTTCACTCATTGTCACATCCTCTTCAGCGTGGCTGTCGACAATAACCGAATCTTTGATTAGTTGTGTCTGTTCTTCGACAGCTGGAACGTAATCCTCGTCTGTGCTCATATCGGTGTCTTCCAAGATGTGACGTAGAACCTCTTCTGTGTCCTCCTCCATCTTGTCTGTCTCGACGATCTCCACCTTTCTCTCCTCCTCTGCCTCAATCTTCACTTCTTCCTTTACTTCTTCCTTTGTTTCTTCCTTTACTTCCTTTACTTCTTCCTTGACCACCTTCTTCTTTGGCTTCTTCTCATCTTCGTTCTCGGATACCTCAGAATCTGCCTCCTCGACCTTAGCCTTGCGTCGTAATAGTTTTTTCTTTTCTTTCTTCTCTTCCTTCTCAGTTTCCTTCTCGCTCTCTACCTCATCATCTTCTTTAATTGTGGACTTGGATGGTCTTCGCTTTAATAGATCGCCTCCCTCTTTCTCCTCTTCCTCCTCTTCCTCGACAGTTGTTGGGAGAATCGAAGGCTTTGCCGACCTTCTACGTGTTGACCTTCTTGGTGGTTCATCATCCTCATCGTCTGCTTCCTCCTCCTCCTTCTTGACAGTTGACTTGGTTGATGTCACCAATTCCTCAATACTAATCCTCTTCGGTGCTTTCTCCTTGACGGGAGTCTCCTTAGGTGAGAGCTGTTCGTCGACTTCTTTTTGTTCCATATCTTTTTCGGCGTCTGAGAGCTCCACATCGATGCCCGAGTCCCTATCTTCTTCCCTTTCCTTTACCTTTTCACTTTCTTCTTTGGACACTTCCTTTTCTTCTACTTCATCTTTCTTGACCTCATCCACCACCATGTCCTTGACCTCATCCTCTTCCTTCGAGCTAGAAGTAGCCTGCTCCGCCGAGACCGAGCCGAAATCAGTGACACCCTCGCTTGAAGCGGCAGTGGTGGTGGCATCCGTACTAATGATAGCGTCCTCAATATCCATATCGTCCCCCTCCGTAGTTGTAGCTGTAGCCTCCATGGCTTCGGTCATATCGACGATCACGCCTGATTCCGGACGAATGTCAGTACCTATATCTACGAGTGATACCTCATGATCTTCACGTCCAGGAGGAGAATTCTGTACCAGTGAAAGCGAAACCGTCGAAAGGACTGATATTCTCTACAACAGTGTCAAGGTCAAGATCCTCATCAGAATCCATGCAAATGCCTGAATCTACACGTTGTAGCTGGCGTTTGAACTGCTCCCGTCTCCGTAGCCTCACAACCTCGAGGGACTTCTTGGACGGCGACGAGGTGGATAAGCTCCGCTTACGTTGCTTCTTGGTTGGGAGCCTTTTGTAACCGGGCAGGAAGAGGGCATCTCGGTTGTCTAGAAGGCGTACTTTACAATTGCTCGGTGTATATATGTCCTCATCCTCGGCGAGGGTCCGTTTGGCTCCCTGTACTGCAACAGGATCGAGGATAAACCGGGGAGGTTTGGTCCAATCCCATATAGAACGTCGAGCTCCGGTGGGAACAATGAGACGGGGAGAGAAAACTCCCGAGAGCCGGACCCGCTTGTTGGAAGAGGAATGGGTACTTGAGGTCTTCCGTTTCAAGCATGCCGGTGGGCAGCTGGGGGGGAACATTGTGGACAGTACAAAACAGGAGAGATGCAGAGAGACCTAGAAAGAGAGATGGACAATAAAAGGGCTATATTCTTTTTCTTGGGTACGATACAAAGGGCAGTAATGATAATAGATAGAAAGATATGATAACGATAATGATAGATAATGATAATATAGCAGAAAGAAGCTGCAGAAATATTTCGAGAAGAAAGATAGATCAGAAGTGTGCTGCTTGTAATTGAACTGCGCAATGGAAATGATTTTGGGGGGGGGCAAGAAGGGGAGGGGGAGGTATTTGAATTATCCGGCGACACAATTTCCAACTGGATGGGCCATGGATTCCGTGGAGGTGTAGGTAGTTAATGCAGTACTGTCTTGAATTTTGTCTTTTTTTTTTCCTTTTTCTTATTCCCTTATTAATTTTTATCCCTACCCCGGGAGTGCACGTCGGTGAAAAGAGAACAAAACGGATGGAGTGGAATCGAGAGATTACCGAACCAGCGGGCCACAGGGTGTAGGATTTAAAAATGTTTCAATTGAAACGGGAAATAGATCTCTCTTATCTCGTATGTTTGTGAAACTTGCCGGTAGTGGTAGTTGTAATAATCCTTTCAGGCAGAAAATATTAACTGTCAATTGAGACAGTTAACTAGGTATCTAGTAATTGAAATTGGTTCTCTGGCTTAACAGTAACAATTGCACTTTCTTCTGATCGTAATCGCAATTGAATTGAGCAGATGGCCTACATAGTAGGTACATGGCAGGTAGCTCAATCAATATCAAGGCAATTGACTCGCAATCAGGCATGTAGGCATGTAGGCAGGTAGGGTAGGCAGGCAGCTAGACAAGCAGAAGGAGAGAGGCAAGCAGGCAGGCAGGTACTCTGCTGCTGCTTCTGCTGCTGCTCTTCTCGAGGACTCTATTCCCCACCTTCGCTATCATATCAGATTGCATATCCACCCACCTTGCCTCGTTGCCTCACCACTGCAATGCTGTCATACACATCCATCATGAGACCCAGTCTGCGATGACCGGCTACAGCTTCTCCAAGAAACTGCGAGACGTGTTCTCCGGACGCTTGAGGGATTGACGTGGAGCCAGTCGGGGGAGGTAGTTTGCCAGCACATGACAGACGCTTTGGGATGGGCGCATGAGGCGGGCTAAGCGAAATGGGGGTTAGTCAGGGCAACGAGGGTGAAGGGGGGATGTTTGTTAACCGGGGTTTCTTGGTGCCTTTTGGATGCCGGTTTGTTTCTCGCTGCGGGGGCAGGGTGGGCGTGAGATGGTGGTGAGGGTGGTGGTGGATGTTTGGTTTGGATGAAAGGGTTCGCCGAGTTGGTGGTGGTGATGAGAGGATAAGAAGAGCGAGAGCAACGGCTAGCTACAACTACAACTACAATACTACCTAGAGTACAATTACCCCATCCACCACTACAACCATTCTAATACTACAATGTACTATTAAGGAGTGGCTTTTTTATTATTTTATTCTCGCCCTCTCTCCTCTTTCCCCTCACCACCCTCTACCCCCCCCCCCCCCTTGCTATCGCTGGTTTGCTGCTTCCTGCAACCCCACCAAACTGATTATCGAGCTGCATATCACTCTACTGCGGGAGTAACCGAGCGTCTTGCATGCACAACGGTGCACTCGTACTCTCTCAGAAACGAACGAGAAAAAACACATTTCATGACATCAGGCAGATCTAATACCTTGCGACAATTAAGCACCCTATTACTGGCAGAATTATATCTACCGGCTTCCCGTTATTCGGCGATAGACCCACCGGGTGAGGGGAGGGGCGACTTGGCAGGGAAATCATATTTAATCACTCGATGATCATGAAGGGGGGGAGGGGGTGGTTGCAGTTGCAGAGATCCCTCAACCCTCACCACGTAAGGGTCAATGATCTGTCTGACTGGCCTTCCTCTTCATATGTATACTACCGGCTCTCTCGGGATTCAACACAAACGACGTCGTAAGCCACTGTGTATCCTAGGTTAATTCCAGGCCCCGGAATAAGCGCTACTCTCCATAGTCAGAGCTTGTAAAGATCCCCTCCCTTCCACAGCCACTTTTGAACCCTCCTTCTCTTACACCCCCCTCCCCAATCACCTCTCCTCCGCCCCTTTGACACGTTTAAGACACATACATACATTTTACATTCCCTCCCGCACCCCTCACTCTCCTCGCCAGTAGTTCGCGCAGAAACATGAGCTGCAAAACAAGAGAGTACATAGACTAGAGCATGTACGCACGCCTCTGCTCTTACAGTACTAGTACCTCCTGGAGGTGCATCAGAGATCGCCGGAAAAAGGACGAGTTCGCCACTCTCTGTAACGTGCAGTTGGAATACTGTTTAGTCATGTGTGCGGCAGAGGAGATCCTGCTAGCGGTTCTTTTACGAGTGCATTGGTCTGCAGAGGAATCTTTGTGTTTCAAAAGGACCCAGTCAGGATATCAAGAGAGAGGGGAGGGGGGGACGGGACTCGACGCGGACTTATCTCAAACTGCTTCATGATTATCCAAGTCCCGGGCTACCTATCCTATCGGCCCTTCCCCGCCGCGGGATCGTCCAGAGACATTGGGGAGAGGAAGAGAAGATGTGGGTGTCTCTAGCAAACATCGTCTTCGTATCGAAATCGCCGAAGCGGTTTGCTTACAACCAAAGATAGAATAAGCATATATACAACATCGTACTTTCAAAGTAATACACGATAGTACGGCACCTTGATGCCTACCCCAATGTTGGTTTCTACACTTTTTGCCTCTCCTGATGATGTACAGCAGTGTAAAAATAGTATCGCCCGTAATTAAGCATAAGCTCTAACCGTAAACGATCAAGTACACATTTTCTGCGGAAAAGTTTCCCCTGTCAGATTTTTTAGCCCGAAGAATTCGAGTGATGGTCTGTGTCCACGGAACCTCCGGGAGTAAAACACCCAAAGCCTACTGAGCTCCTCCCGATCCTTACTCCGGTTCCAGCCTCCAATCCGCCGCCGACGGGGCGAACCATCGCAAAACCATACGGAGACTTTCAGAGGTATGTAGCATGTATGGTATGCCAAAAGCGACAGTGAATGTACAAATAGCAATCACCGTATCTTCCCCCTCCAAACCATTAGACGGCCATCGCTTCGTTCTCCTCTAGCACTTTTTTTCTGCCCCCACGTATGATGGTCATGATTGTGGCTTTTTGGGAGGATTGAGAGCCAGGTATTTACTGGTGGCTACCCCCTAACGGCTTGTATCTCATTTTTGGTCAGCCTGTTGGCATTCGTTTAAACCCAGAAGTCACTTTCATCACTCAGGTTTGTAGCTGAGATGTGTCAGGTCTACTTACGGCCCATGTCTCTGGGCAGTAGAGTAGTGTGGCTCATGGGGGTACGTTGCGAATTGAGGGACGGGAGTGCTGGAGGTGAGTGCTGGAGGTGAGTGGTGGGATGGTGAGTGATCGTGGCCAATCGGTGCACTGGATCCGTGATCATCTATTTGCCTGCCTTCTGAATCCCGATACCCGATATACAGAATCGATGTCGAGAAGTTGCCTGTATAGGGGATGTATGTGACGTGCCTGTGTTTTTTTGTAGAATTATTGGGAAGTCCCTACAAATGTGTACCTGGATTCCAAAATCCAAAGATCGTGTGGGGTGCAAAAAGCAAAACTCCCGGGATTCCATTCCTTAGTGAGACCAAGTAGTCTTGTCTTTGAAGAGAAACAGCAAGAAAAAAGTGTTACTTAGTAACCCCACGCGGGGCTCGAACCCGCAACCTTCAGATCGCTACAAGAGGAACTCTAATAGAAGTCTGACGCGCTACCATTGCGCCAGCAGGGCTGCTATGAGTATTTTTTGGTTTTTACCTATTTTGAACCACTGCTCAACATGACGAAACTTTAATGTGTTTTATGCCCCCCTCCCACGCCCGTTGTGAGATCTGTTCATGTGTGATATGAGCAAAATCGCGTTCGGCTAATAGCCGGCCCAAAAAATGTTTCAAGATCTACTAGTTGAGATCAAGTCTCCAATTCAATTTTTCTGCATCAAACGTTCCGCTAAATTTATACAGATGACCACGAAGCTTTCTGATCAGATCAACTCCATTATCACTTGCACTTAGAGCGAGAATGGCGCCGATAAACTACAGTTGCGCAAAGAGAGTCAATGTAACTGGACAGCCGATAAATCGAAGACTTGGCATCTTACATAATTACAACATAAGTGCAAGTTTGATCATTAACGAGGAACCTCAGAACGGGGTTCAAAATTCCTCCAGTTGGAAGTAGATATCAGTACTAAACCCCCTGAAATATTTTAACCCCCTGAAGAGGAATCGTACATCCAAGAGGTGCGTTTTAATGCGAGGCATCGTCATGATCACCTTTTCAAGTTCTGAAATCTGTGGGCTGTCGTCTCCATATGGCGTGATTCAACGAGCTGGTTTCAGGTGTAGAGATTATGATGATTATATGGTAGCCGTTTTGGAAGTTCGTATACACTAAACGAACAAATTATATTTAGTCACAGTATATCACTCGGAATATGGAATTAGTAACCACTGAATTAATTACGTAGTTGACCATGAACATAGAAATATTAGATGTTCATGTTTCATACTTAGTACTTTCAGGAGTCATTTGTTAGGGTATGTGGTATTTTTCTCAGGCCAAAGTCACGTTCATAGCGAAGCATGGTTGAAAACCTAACTCTAGATATGCTACAGCTACATAGTTTATAACATAACAATCAAGTAAATACATGTATTGACTTACAGTAACAAAAAAAGCTGTTTGGTCGTCTGTAACCTAGCTCTGAGTGGTTCAGCGAAAATGGAAACGGGCGAAAATCTTCGATAAGAAAGGCTTGAATGTCTACTTTTACCGTATGTTTCCCTGTCGGTTAGTCAGTACATACTTCTTGTTATTGTCACTGGTGCCCATCTTGGGCTTATCTCAACCTTCGATTTTGAGGGAGAAAAGTGCATTTTGCTCCCAATCAGCTCCAACTATTGATGTCATATTACTTGATACATGAAGTCTGTCTGGGTTTTCAAAATCGGAATTGTCCGAATCGCCTTCCTTGGGACCTTGGGACACAAGATAACACAGGCCAATTGTATGTTTTATTTCCCGAGGACCCTATGCCAGGTGGAAAAGACTGCTGGTATCATCCTCTCATTAACTGAAATCTAGCTGGTAGGAATCCCCGGATCACGTGTTTTGACTCTTGTTTTCCACGTGGTACTTGTAAATTTACCGCTTCTTGTTAATCCCGAAAAGCCAGGCGCGTCTAGCCACTTCATCCAGCCATAAAATAAAGATGGTGGTGAATGATAATATAAGTCCATCATATATATTTTTGAGTAAGTAACCACGTGCTCATACGCGAGTGATATAATATGAAGAAGACTATCAGTTTGTAGAAGGGTAATACTAAATTAGTTTAGTAGGTATCACAATACATATATCTACTTCATTGCCTATTTGTTCGAGTGCCTCAGACTTCATCCGGTAAATTGCTTTCCCTATAAGCTTAGATATACGTATTTGAGTTTATAAAATCGTGTATCTTCGATGGTACTTACTGCTGATGAATGCATATAACTACCTGTATCTTTTGCTAACAGTCATTTAGAGTGAGATATTTGGTATTTTCTCTTAGCGGTTTCGTACAACACTCATCGCTTGAGGGTGCTTGCTTCCTTCAGTTTACTACCTAGCCAGAGTTGTTACTCAACAGTATAGTCAGCCCACTGCACATGAATTGTTTAGTGCATATATTCCCACCCACTCTGTCTCCGTGGGCCCATGATCAAGAGTTTTAGTATTTCTAGTGCCTATATATATTGTAATTTTTATTGAAGGAAATCCCGAGTCTTGTGTTTTAGCCACTATGAGCATCCAAGGCACCCGATGAATTAAACAAAAAAAAAAAAATCCAAGGCGCCCGAGATAACTGCCAAAAACCATTAGGCTGATACATTCCATGGGAATCTGCGTACAGTTCGGTGTGAAACGATGTCTCGTGATGTTAATGTGGTGTACGGTAACTTTGGCATCTAGACGTGCTTCGCCCAACTGCATCCCTTACAGAACCTTATTACTTCGACATTTCCAAGTCTCGAGTCTATCCGTTGAGTGCCTCGAGCTTCCTCGTAGGTATTGTTGGCCAATTGGATGACTAGCTAGTAGAGAGAGAGGTTGTCACTTCTACCATTGATTAATGTGATGGTCATGAATACGCATATTGGATGGATGCCGACATTTTGAACATGCACTGAACACTACGTACCTCAACAGAGAGTTCGGTGTTCCATTTACGCAGCAGTGGATATTCGATGATAGCCTTTTTTTGATGCTCTCGCTCATGATTCAATTTTAGTCAGTGCCAGTAAGGGGGTGTGTGTATGGCATATGTTGCCAGCCGTGATAACCCACTGTGACGCAAGTAAGCAACCCGCCAGCCCCGTTTGCTCAATCCTATCATAATCTGTGGGCCTATGGGATTTGGTCACTCGTTCGAGTCCCGGAAAATTAAAACAAGGTGGATCGATAGATGGGGTGGTGGGGTTGGAATTGGGAGATGTCGATACGTAGTACGTAGTCTAGATCTCGTACCCAGCGATGGTACTCAGTGATCCATTACCAAGCAAAGGAATAATTCCCATTCCGCAAAAGGGAGCCCGAAGTAACTGCTACCCTCGATCACTTGAGTAACCTAACTCTGACGAGTCGAGATTTCCCCACCCATTGATCTGATCTGGGTCACTAAGTACCCTTTGGTAATTAAAAGAGACAACTTTACAGAAACAAAACAACTTTTTTCAAAATTAACAAGCTAGATACTCTACATAAACCGCTCCGGCTACCTTGAACCTATTATCAAATACCCCCACACCGGCATTACACTGGATATCAAACCAAGTACAATATAACGAAAAAAGCAAAACGGAAACGCGCATATAAAATGATAAAAACGGCAAACTTAAATAAAAATATATAAAAAAAACCCTCCCCGAGATGCGACATGAGCATGAAGCCCTTCCTGCCTTGTTAGTAAGAAAACATAAGAAATACCTCCCTCCCAATCCCCGTATCATTGCTGAAAATTCTTTATATATAATAAGGTATCATCCTCATAGCCTTCCGGATCCCATCCGGGCCCGTCCTGTCCCAACGCACAAAATATGAAATAGAGAAAAAGAAAAGGAGGATCTGTCTTTCTTGATTTTGTTTTGTTTCCCCTCGCATTCGTTGCCATATCATAGACATCGTACTATCTAATACAGGGGGAATCCCAACAGTGAGAAAACTGTTCCGGGATAAGTTGAAATAAATAGAATAAAAAGGTCACACAGAAAAGGTCCCAAAGGCCCTAAAGTTGACTTAAAAGGCAATAACAAATATACTTTCAACATAATAAAAATCTGAATAAAAAAATAAAAATAAAAACCGTCACCCCTCTATTCAACCACGATCTCAACACCTGACTGGACATCCAACTCCCCAGAACCCCCACGATGCTGCCTCCTGGACGCAAACCCCGCATTTCTATCCGGATCCGGTCCTCTTGGTTGTCTAGAAGGCACTACCTGGCCTCTCTCCCTCTCGCTTCTCATCGAAGATGCTGACGTCGGTTCATCGCTGTACGGCGACATACCTCCATATCCCCTTGTTGACACACCTCCATTACTACTACCAGCACTAACAGGCGTTGAAACATCGTGATTGCCGTCCCTTCCGTTTTGTCGTTCTCTATCAAAATTCAAAACACCCCTAGGATCCAGTGGGTCTCGAAGGCTCGCTCCACCGACACCGAGATTACCACCCAAGGAGGACGTAAGCGACACTCCAGCAAGTCCATTCACAAGTAACGACTCACTAGCATTAGAAGCAGACACGGTAGTTCCTGTCGCAGTTGGCGTCAAACTCGGAGTAGTAGAAGTAACGCTGGCACCATAGTCCGTGTACCGAGAAATATTGCCTCCGAGAGCGGCAGGAAAGCTAGCAGAAGAAGGCACAGGCGACGGAGTATAGGATCGCAAGTCAGCAAACGATTTTGCGGCACGAAGATTCTGTCGGCTATGCATATCTCCTCTGCCAGAAGGCGAAGATGGAATGTCCAATAGAGAATTTCCGTGACGACCTATTGTTGAATACATTCCCGCTCCTTCTGAGCGAGCATCACTGAAATCCATAGTAGTCGCCCTAGTCAGCACTCGTCGCTGATGCGATTCCACAGGATGAACGGTCGTGGGAATCGACGGTGGGCTTATGCTTGGGGTCCCTGAAATTGGGGCACGGAAAACATGCACTTGGCGCTGTTCACCAGTACCACGAGAAACGTGTGCCAAGGCCATGTGATGTGCAAGGGTGTGCACGATGCGACGTTGCTGCGGAGAAAGCGTCGACGGAAAAATAAGAGCCTCTCGGGAAAGATCGTCGCGGAACAGCAGGAGCTGTGAGTAGAACTGCAGAGTCTGTGGATCGTTCAAGTCTACGTCTGGACGTGACCATTAGTCTATGCACTCTGCACTCTGCAGGCAAGTAATAAACTATGCAGTCCAAATGCACTACGGCGCGAACAACTGGCTCGAATAAAACAGATTTCGGGTAGGAGTACTAACCTGGAAGTGTCCGAGAAGCGCTGGGAGAAGGTGAAGTAGATAGAGGGATGATAGGCTGTTGCTGCTGCATCTGCACAGGCCGATGCTGTTCCTCCAACTGTCCTCTCCTTTCTCTCTTCTCCCTTTCAATTCGCTCCCTTTCAACCAAGGGCAACATCTTTTTGTATTCTACTCTAAGCTTCCGGCCCTGAAGATCGAAATGATTCAAGATATCAATTACAGCTGCTGTTTCTTCGGCGGTTGTAAAATTTGCGAACGCAAGGCCCCTAAAAACACCATTGTCGAAGTGATAGTTGAATGCATACGGAAGTGGCAAGTTAAGCTCTGTCATCAATTGCACCAGTTGTTCCTTCTTGACAGCAAATGGGATATTTTTGATTACGATCGCTGTAGGTATCAACTCCTCGTCGGGATCCGATCCAACAGTCTCAGTTCTCATAGGGGACGGGCCCAACGGAATATTCCCCATACCGGCAAGTGGCGAAACCGTGGGCAAAGATACGGGCGCGGTATCAGTCCACATCTATCAGAAGGTTAGTTTCCAATTCGACCCATCAATACCTACTGCCTCCCTACTGCTACATACCGCTGGTAAAGCACTACGTTGCCTTGATGGGGTCTTGATCCTGCCAGTAGCGCCACCCATAGCAGCCAATGCACCACCACCTCCAAAACTACTTGCATTCCAAGTCTGCGCCCCTGAATCGTACCCGTACCCAGTGACCGCACCTAAACGAGAAGAATCGCCATAACGAGAGTCGAACCTTGCGGCGTGGTCTTCGGCAGTGTAAAGGCCACTCTGTGAAGCAAATGTTTCAAAATGCCTTGAAGAGGCTCGATGGAGACTCTGATGTTGCTGTTGTTGGTGCTGGCCGGTTGGTGATCGCGAGGAGCCGATGGTGTCGTAGTATCCGTCGTGATGGCTAGACATTGCTATCGCTTAGACGGTATGATAAATGTTTAAAAGGCTTTAAATATGTATTTATAGAGCACTTGTAATAAGGTCCCTTTGGTCAAGTTTAAAAGTGAAGGATATCGAAGCCCCTTTGTTGGAAAAGAAAGGAAAAGAAAAGAAAAACTTTGATGATTCCTGAACGACGTCAGATCACCAAATAAACCAACTACCGTCTTAACGTAACCGTAGTTTCTTCTCTAGATGACGCTTGCAGTGACGTTTCGTCGTTCTCTCTCTGTTTTCTTTATTGGAATTAAATGATTTTGTTGTAGCGAACCTTGTATTAGAAGTGCGGTATTGTTGTGAATGCTTTCTCGGAAGATCGTCCCGATTTTAATTGAAGTCTTTCTTTTGTAATGTGGAAAAAACTATAGAAATATATGAACCCGAACGAAGAAGATGATGCTGGACAAATGCTGATGCCTTTTTAGGATGAGTAGGATATAATTTTTGCTATTCTTTCTCTCGATAATGTCACAAAGTCGTCTTTCCGTTGCGTGGCTCGTGAATAATCGTTAAAAGGCGTGGGTCTCGTTACCGGGAAAGGGGCGGGGAAGTCGTTATGATGAGGGGTTTTCTCCGTCTCTAGTCTCGTCGTGAAATGTGGTAAGGGGTGTTCCAGTCCACCAGAGTAAGATTTGTGGCGGTGGAGGGGGTAGGTGTAGTAGGGGGTTGAGGAAAGGAAAGCGTTGAAGAGTGAATGAATGAGTGATGAGATGAATAGGAGCGAAATGTCCTGAAGGGGGGTGGAGGAGGGGTGGTTAGAGTGTGACGGGGGTCTGATTGAAAAAGGAGGTGTGATCAGAGCCGACGGAGGAGGGCACGGGTAGTCTGAATAGCTACGGGGGGGAGACGGTTCGGGCAGCAACAAAGCTGGGGGGGAAATGAGTGTGAAAAAAAACGAAAAAACGAAAGGAAAAGTAGATGCACTAGAAGCACGAGCACACGAAGACAGGCGAATCAAGTGTAACCTTTACAAGCTCGTTCGAGAAGTCTGCAGCTGGCTGACCACTTGGAGATAAATTTGCTGAACGTTTGTAAAAACTTATTGGGGGATGATGGAAGGATCTCCTACGCTACATAAGTTATGGATTATACTGCTAAGAGGCACGGGAGCAGCAACAACGACGGCTAGCTGTTTGGTTGGCTATTTAGATGCGATGCGATGCGAGGGGAGAATGAGGAAAAGTGGGAGAGCGCAGCATCAATTGGAGCGAGAGTAAGAGGAAGGAAAGGGGGTCACAGCCAAAAAGACAGATTGCTACCCTATCCAAACTCTCCTGAGATCGGGCCTGGGATGATACAGTATGGAGAGCTGTAGGTATTACAGCAAAGCCAAAGAACTCGCTTTGCGCCGCTTGTGGCTCTTTGGCCTACCCGTTCATGGCCAAGCATTCGGCGGATTGCTCTCTCTTGGTTGAAGCTCCAGAATAACAGTGGATGAGTGGATGAGTGGATGGACTGCATATGGTACATCTATGTACAGAATAGGAACTCTCTCCAGGGTAAGATTATTACTGCATGTAATCGGGTATCTAGGCACTCTAGAGTACTCTAACTGCACATTCGACCTGTGCCAAACACTCGAGGTAGACTCGTAGAGTAGAGTAGGTACATATGAATTTACTTATAAGTTATGTAGAGCACGTACTCTACGAGTGTACGAATATGCTTTACGTGCTATGTGTATGCAGGCAGCCTGACGATATTCTGCTGAAGAATAATATGTAGGTACAGCTTATGCACACTTCCTAGGCAAAAACACTATCCACGGCTCAAAAACTCCGACAACAACCAGCCAGTCAGCTTTGGCCTCTGAGCTACAAGGGGTGGCGGTCAAAACAATATGTAAGTAACTTGTACCCGTCCTGTCATATAGCTGGCAGACCATAGAAGTCTTGTCGTGCTGTCGTGTACCATAGAACAGGGCTCATCCAAGAAACCGACGTGCGTGGCCTCAATTTCTCACTTAATGTCAAGTAAAGGCGCCCTCCCAGTGCAATATGACATGACATGACAAAGGTAGTATAGCCCCGCCACAATACCCAGAGACGAAGGGAAGAAGAAAACAAGAGAAGGGGAAAGAAGAAAAGAAAGATCACGATCATCATGCAAAGGAAACAACAAGAAACACCTACATACCTCCTCCACCTGGAGCAAATTCTTCCCTCCAGCTAAATACCTAGGTAGAGTACCAGATGACTTGAGCTCTGCCCCTTCCCCCACCATCTAAACCCGGCCCCTCCCGCGGCCAATACATGTATCATATCGGACAAGAAGGTTTCTATCACGCTAGAACAAATACTCTCTTCCTCATTCCCCGCTTGGACCACATTCTATACCCTGTTTGTCGGTGTCCCGCCGTAGGTAGTGCCCACGAAACGAAAACTACCTGCATAGGCCATACAGAAGTTCTCTGTCGGGATGGATCACGCCAGTTGTGCTGTGCGGTGCAGGAAGCCTCCGGGTTCTTCTTCTTCTTTATGATACACAAATCAAAAACAAAACCAAGACCGAAACAACATATGCATAAGAAAGCATTAGGCAAAATAGAGGAATGAAGGAGAAAAACCAAGGAAAGGCCTTATCGCGATCCTCACGATCACGACTTGCCGGCCTACATTAAGGGCCACTCAGCATGGAGAAAAGGAAGTCGAGAAGAAAAAGCAGTGCATGAAACTGCCATCCGATGTACCAAAAATAGTCAAGAACCTTGACTTACAAAACTACTCTACGAGTCTCGGAGTCTAGAGTTTCCAAAAACAAGTGCAGTACAAATTTCATGGTATGCAATCAAGACTTCTTGACCAAATCAGACCAAATTCATAATCATATAAAAAACTAAGTTTCCGTTACAACTTACCGGTGCTTCCCAACATACTATCCAATCCCGAGCCTAAGAAAAAAGGAAATAAAAAGGGAGAAACAGAACGAACAAATGAAGGAACAAATGTGTTACCAAGAAAGAAACCAGCACCATGCATGTCGTCCCGTGCATCTGTTGGGTCTACTCTTATCACGTGCGAGTATGATGAGTGGTGTGGGAACTTGGAATGGAAGGGGTGTTGTTATGATCCCTTTTCAGGATTCCTACTTTTTGATAGGGATGCGTCGACCATTTTGGGTCCCCTCTTTGGGGATATTTTTCTAAAAGGGAAGTTTCTCTATTCTGCGGACGTCCAGGATAGTTACACCTGCATACTCCACAGGATTAAGTACGTTACTCTCTTCGTAGGTACAGTTCTACCTACTTTCAACTCCATCTACGGAGATTTGTCAGGGCTGGAGGGGGTTCTGTTACCGCTGCATAAATACACTAGATATGCAGCCCAGGTATGAGATAAATTCCGGATGATTGCCCACATCTTCGAGAACTTCTAGAGTGCCTCTCCCCATGGATGGTGATTTCGGAGCTGTCTCTCCACAAAACCCACCAAGACTATTTGTGTATCTAAGTATGATATACCTAAACCCAAGTACCAAGAGCCAGAACCAGAGTCGAGTCGCATGATCAATTACCCCCAACACACGTCCATCCGCCGCCTCAATCACCCCCGGACGGTCTAACTGAATGACTGGCTGATCGATTAACGTTCAACCTTCCGGTACCTGTGAGATGGGTTGAGTTATGAAATATAGCTGGATATGAATGCGGACAGACAGACAAGACCCGAAATCTCATTACCGGCACATTACACGCATGCCATCTAGAGGCAATCGATATGGAGATTGCTCTGAGGAAAAAGTCCAGGTCACAAAAAAATAAAAGAAACCGACAGGCAGGTCCATCACTTAAGGCAAGACGACGCGGCAAGATTGGGTAAAGCATGTCTAAGACTCTATTACCCACCTACCCTAGATACGCGACGGCACATACAAAAGGGGGAGAGGCTCTCACGTACCTCATTTCTGACCCACTGGTTTCCGCCCCTCGGACCCGGAAAGTACTGTGCCCCTATCATGGGTTGCGTCGATCCCGAAAAGCCACTGGATCATTGGCACTTGAGACTTTCTTCTAACCTGGGGAGGAAGGACACCTTGCAATCCTTTGAGATGAGATGGGATCTGATCTGATATGTAGAGGGTAGATATGTGGCGAAGCACATCTATCTGATCCAAATGTGGAATCCAATTCGTCGGTGCGTACGGATTTACCCGGTTGTGTAGGTTGGGTTACCTAGTCTCTTCATGGAATATGGTTCGGACATGGTAAGGGCGGTTCGTCCCAAAATTCGTCCCAAGATTCGTCCCGAGACTTAAAATGGTTCCGATTCTGTTTTCTTTTTTGAAATCATGGCATCGTTATTCCTCGATTCTGAATATAGAAGTTATGATACTCTACATGAACGCTTTGTATGCGCATGTTGAGAGCTTGGACAGAAATTCTGCACATCTTATTGGTTGTGTTGACGTACCTACCCCTCACCCACACTACACTGCAGAACGTGCTGTTAAGCTTTTAATTTTTGTTGAATCCACGTTGGTAAAGATCGATCTCTTCCAGCATTAGTGCTATCTTTCGATCAATCTGAAAACCCTCATGGTAAGCCACTCTATTTGAATCCAGGCACCTGAGAATCTACAAATGTACTCACACTTTCGGGTCCGCAGGAGCCACTTCTCAGAAGCTATATATACGTATAGTGATACCCAGTTTTAAAATATCGATAGTGGGTATCAATTACCTCGGCAACCGACACCGACGGCCAATACAGGAAAGACCCCCAAAGTTGTATCCCTTAACAAGGACAAGTAAAGGAATAGGTAATATAATGAGATACTTTTATTTTCTCACAATTATCCCTGCAACGGAGGAAATATCCAGCCAAAAAGAAAAGGCGTCGAGCATGGTATGTACTTTCTATCGACTGCATAGGCCTCACTTTCCTTTACACAAGTAACCAAGTTAGCACAGGACTCGATCAGTAGTTGCGATAGGGAGTGATATATACTTGACCTCGGCCATTGGAATGAGTTCTTGGCCGTGTGTAATCGTAAAAGCGCTAAGCCACACTAAACCTAACATCATAGAACGAAACAATTATTCAAAATATATATCAGATGTGTTTGCGGTGTCAAATTCCTGCTGACTGGGATAAATTTACTTAGATTTGAGGTCATTTCCACTCATCTCTTGTTAAATTTCGGCTTTCCTTCTAGGGAAGCGTCCCAGGAAGATATTTACAATTCGATACATACATTATACTACATATAACTCTCAAAAATTTACAGAAACCATGCCTCCACTCTCCACAGTGGAAAAGCTATCGACTCGCTTTCCGCAGAAGCACGTGCACTTACAAAGCGCCGGGTCCTCCTCTGAACTCGTTTCATTATATTCTGCAAACATTGATTAGCATTGAGACTATTTTCTCTCATGAATTTACATTCTTTCATATCTATTCAAAGGCCATATTTGTAGACGGGGGAAACTTACGAACATACGACTTCCAAAACTCAAACACCACAAGCAGCAACGATACAACCGCAACAACTTGTCCAAACCCCCACCTCTCCTCCGCATCTTCACTTAGTAACTCTCTGTTTGCTTTACGATACCCTAACACGCCACACAGCGTAAAAACCGTCCAGAAGATCATGACTGGCAGACAGAGGGCGGCTGAAAACACAAGGCCTCCAGCGAGCCTCATCCACGGCCACGACCCTTTCACGAACATCTTTACAAAGAGGCCGCAAATAGTTGGTACATAGCCACACACGAAAAAGACAAGATTGACCAGGACCCAGCCCAGCAGTGAGTCCCGCTCAGTGTAGCTACCAACACAATACTTGGCACTACACGCGCGGAAACAATCCTGCTCGAGGTCCCATCGCCGCCGAACACTCGTGTACGTCAAGCCGCAGTAGACGGCGTACAAAACAGCATACAGCGCCACCGCCGCATAGCGCACCGTGTTGAAGCGCCCATACGGCTTCTCGTCCCAAACATACATGATGGCCAGATGATGTGATAGCGATGGGATCCACGCCATGTTCCCAACCATGATAGCGTGGTAGGCACTTAGCTTGGGGAACTGCGACAGCGAGGCTACCATTAGGGCGATCCCAGACAGGGTCTGCATGTCCGAGGTCAGCAGGATGATGTCTGTCATCATCGCCGCGCGGAGCGGATTCGCGGGGTGGAGGGAGCGCGGAAGCGTGGGGAGGCCCCCAAGGCGCCCTCCAGCATGGAGGTACTTGTAGGCGAGCGGCGGGAAGGTGATGAGGCGATTCCAGCGGCCCGAGAAGTAGTACATGCAGATGCCGATTAGGCTGGCGAGAAAGCCTTGCACGAAGAAGGCAGAGATCACCTGTAGTCGTCGTGATAAGCCCAAGTTAGCGGATAGGTTCCAAGTTAGCGTTTGTGGGGAAAAAGGAACGCTGGAAGGCAACAACGTGGGGGGGGGGGGGGGCCGAGGGCGGGCATAACAACAACTCACACCTATCCCGCTGATGTCGGGGTTTGAGAGTATTTTTGCCTCGCACCACCACTTCTGAAAGCCTTCCTCCTCAGTCTCCATGACTTGCTTGGTTTGCTTTGCGGCTACTTTGCTTCTTCCTGGCGGATTTCCATCTCGAAAAAGTGCAGGACGTACATGTACCGGCGTATTTAACAAGTTTCGCACACCTCCCCAGTTCGCCAACCCACATTGCAAAAAACTCTAAAGTTAAAACCTGTAAATCCCGCTTCTAGAAAGCGTGCCCCGTGGGTACTCTACAGGAATAGGAGGCTGCATGAGGCTGAACATGGATTGGGATGGGAACGCCAATGGGCAGTGCAGAACAAGGCGATAGGTCGTGGGTGCTATATGTTTTACTCCGGCTCGCTTGACGGATACGAGGCTGAGAGTTATTTGTTTTTTTTCTCGTGCTGGGATCGAGTGAGGGGTCATGATTGGTGGTGATCAAATTATATTTGGACTGACTAGGTACATTTATCCTGGAAACCTTGGACCGCACTTGACGGTGGTTTTGTTGATACGTGTCGCCTGGAATAACTTTACCGTTGATTATGATGATGATAATGATGATCGCGTTGCTGTCTTGTGGTTGTTATTGTGGTGGAAAGCTTAAAGTTGGGTTTGGGACGCAACCAACGATGTATCAACCATGCAAATGGCTGTTTCGGGATGTTTACCCGTCAAGGGGAAGAGCGATATATTTATATAATACTTAGTCGGGACCTTTGACCTGGTGTAGGGACCGGTATGATGGGTGTGGATCTGCGAGGTATAAAATATACAACAGAGAAAAAGCCTGGAGGAGGAGGCCGGGAGTTGATAAAGAGATTCCTTATATACCACGGCAGATCTCCAAGCACTATATGCAGGTGGGCCCGCACCCCACCTCCCAGCCTCAGGGGAATTTCCACCCTTATAAATTGCGGGCTGCGAGAGACACGGCGGTCACGTCATGGGGTATCACTCATGCCGACTAGCGGCAGTGAACATGCCCGCAAACGGTAAACATTCGGGCCGGGTCCTTACTGCAGAGAGTGCGAGAAAAGGACCCCTTGTACCGCTCTATATCGGCGCGGTATCAGAGCCTAGATTTGGGCCTGTTGGCCTACTTAAATTATGAGTATATGTACCAATATTCAGGCGGCCTACTTATATAGGTGCCCGGCGGCATCACCGCATTGAAATTACCACGCCCGCTCACCGCCCAGTGGGCCGGCGCAGAAGAGTTAGTTAGGCCTACGTACTCGCGCCTTCTCGATCCGGCCGATGCGCGCGGGCAATTGAGGGAAGTTACTCGCCGGTACGTTTGCGGGGGTGAGATACTATAGCTAGACCAGAACATATTGTCACTTGTATAATATTCCTGCAAGGGAGCGGTCGCCGCTGAAAATCTGAATATAAGATCTAGAGTAGTACAGTACCGGCGGATTACTAGAGTAGCCCGCCCCCAAGAACCGGTACCGGGTGGGATATGACATGAAGGAAGTACCGCGGGGGAGTTGTGGCATGATCTGTCCGGCCGATTACCGACCGGGCGTGTTCATGTACTTATACCGGTAGACCGGCACACCACAACATGATATCAACACCCGATGACAACCCGAAGGAACAGCATCGATATAGAGATTCCTGTCCCAGTCTCCCGGTCGGCTTATTGGCTAGAGATACATATACAGTACAATCTCCTTATAAAAATTCGGGTTAAAAGGGTATTCGCCTTATAAGGGTGGAGGTTTCCGGTCCCAAATAATTTGTATGTAATCTTAAGGGTAAATGACCGATTATTTGTTATAAGAGTACCCTTAAGACTTTGGAACCTTTTTTTGGTGCGTTACCCCTATAGAAAGAGCAGGGTTAGGGGTTTTTGATCGAAAACTTCGAGGAAAATTGACAGAGGTAGAAAGAAAAATGAATTAAACAAAACAAAACAAAAAATTCAATTTTCGGGTGGTCCAACAAGCAGTTTCTACTGTGAACGCACATTGTATCGAACTTAAACCCTAATCCTCAATTTCTTATAAGGGTTTACGCTCTATAAAGGTATGGCCTCGCGACTTTTTTGTATTAATTTCTCTCCAGCCCCTTAAACCTGCGTGACTGCATGTATTCACTCGACATAGCACCATATAAAAAAAGACAAAGGGGGGAATTATCGCGCTCATCAATACTGTAGGATCGATCTGATAAAACCTGACTGGCTGGCTGGATTCACGAGATATCACTCGTGTGCCAAGCCTGAAAAAAAATAGATTTGATTTATGAAAACCATAATAATTGATATATATGAAAAAAGAAGAAAGGGGGTCAAATTGACTAATTGGTTTCGATCAGGTAATGATTGATATGTTAGGTTTTCGGTGGTTGAGAAGTTGGGTCCGGGGATGGTTAGGGGAAATAGAGGTACGTAAAAGGAGATGGAGATATGGGCTTTCCTTGGTCTCTAGCCCGTGGGCATAAGGGTTTCTGTTTAGAGATGCTACCAAGGATTTTTAGGAAAATATAGGATAGTAATGAATTGATTTCTGGTATAAAGGGCGCAATAACAACTGCAGCGATAATAATACATATTTATTTTTAGCAAAAAGGATACAAAAGACTGATAATTAGCAACCCAATCTATTTAGAAGACCTCTGCTAAACATAACTACCTAAAAAAAAGCTATAAAATACAAAAAAAGACGCAAAGCCTCACTATAATCATTACCACTACCTCCTAGGTCCCCCACTCGGACCCCCGCGATCACCTCTACCACCCCCCTCCTCTCACCCCTATCTCCTCCACCCCTTCCCCTCTCGCCCCCTCTTCCCGAACCTTCACCCCGTCCCCCATCGCCCTCCCTCCTCTTCCCCCACTCCGTCCCTCCCCCACTACCGCCGCCACTACCACCACCCCTCTCCCGCCTCTTCCCCAACTGCAAAATCTCCTTCTCCTTCTCCCTCGGATCAATCATAACCAGCTCCTCGTTCTTGCGCTTCCACGTAAGATCCTTGCCCAGTCTATCCTTCTCAAAGCTCAGCTTATGACTCCACAGCGCCTCGCTGGCCCCCGGGCTAGGACTACGTGAGGGCCGCTCGTAGAGGCCGCACGAGGCGCAGTTCGGGATGAAGTGCAGATCGCAGAGGGCCGACTCGTCGTCTTCGTCCAAGACGCTGGTGGCGTCTTTGTCGGTGGCCGGGGCAGTGTCTTTGGTTGTGCGGGAGGTGGCGGAGGAGGTGGTAGGTGGGGCAGAGGAGGCGGTGGAGAGCTTCTTTTGGAAGCGTTTTAGCGCGGCGAGCGTCTCGTCTTCGTCTTTGGCGGTGTCGCGCTTGCGTTTGCGGCCTTTGATGGATGTTGCGGGGAGGAGGTCTTTTTGGATTGCTAGTAGGGATTTCTTGGGTTTTGTAGTTGTTGTGGTGGTAGTGGGTGTGTCGCGGTCGCGGCGGAGTGATTGTTTCAGTGCCGCGATCTGGGCGTTAGTTTCTGCGAGTTGCAAGGCCTGGCGCGTCGGCGGTGGTGAGGGCGTACGGGAGGGCGAGCGGGCGCGGACGGGTGTTGGGTCTGGGTCAGCGAGGGAGTCAACATCTTTCGACGTCACGGTCGTGACCGTCTCTGTTGTTGTGATGGCGTTCTTTGCGCCCGTGCTTGTCGGCTCCGAGATTTTCTTCTCCGCCTGTTTCTCTGGCGCCTCTTCCGATAGTGGTGCGGCGACCACGAGCCGGGTGTTGAATTTCGGCTTCTTGAGCACCGGCTGCTGCTCTGCCTCCTCCTCATCGCCGCCAAAGGACAGAAGCGCCTTTCCCTTCTTCTTTTTTCCTGCAGCAGCTTTCTTCCCCGCGGCAGCCTTCTTCTCCTCCAGCGTCCCAGCCTTTGCCGCCGCCTCACGCGGCTTCATGTCCTCAAACGGATTCACCACCACCTCCGCGCCCGTAATCGTAACCGGATACACGGGCCTCTCCGTGCCCTCCTCACACTCGCCCTCCCCCATCCTCACCAGGTTGTATAGCGTGTCGCCCACCACCTTGCCAAACATCGTATTCCTCCCCGTCAGCTCCTTTGTGTCTCCGAGCGTCAGGAAGAACTGCGAGCCATTGTCGTTGCGGCGGCCCGAATTCGCCATGCCGACAAGGCCACGGCGGTTGAAGCGGAGACGGGAGTGGAATTCATCCTCAAAGAGCCCGCCAGGGTAGATTGCTTCGCCGCCATGACCGGTACCGGTAGGGTCGCCGCCTTGCAGGATGAAGTTGGGGACGAGGCGGTGGAAGGCCGTGTTTGTGTAGTAGTTGTCGAGGCAGAGTTGCAGGAAGTTGCGGGAGGTGAGAGGCGTCTGGGTGGCCCAGAGCTCGATGTCGAGGTCGCCGTGGCTGGTGTGCAGGATTACTTTGGCACTGGGAGGAGTGGGTGGGTCAGTAGGTAGGGTAGAGAGAGGGAGGAGGGAAGAGGCGTGAGGAGAGGGGCGTACTTCGTCTGCGGTTCCAGGTTGTAAGCGGACGCCATTGTGGTGTGTGGTGGTCTGGTGGACCAGAATTGATGCTGAGTGTGATGTCTGGTGGTGGTGGTGATGAGGTTAAAGTCGCGAGAATGAGCGACGTGAGCGAAGGTGTTTGAGGCGAGAGAAAGAGGTGACTTCGTGTTGTTGCAAGGGTGACGGGGCTAGGCCGCGTTGGGCGTCAGTCTGTGTCACGTTGCAGGCCAGCGTTTGTGTGAAAAAAAGTGGGGAGATATCATTGACACATTGTTTTGTTGCTGGCGCGGTCTAGCTATCTACCAGTAGAACCCAGATCGGGGCGGGGGGCTGGTCTATTATTACTATCGCTCTAGGCTAGCTAGATACGGCGGGATTGTTATATACGTTAGTGCTTGAATATTGATAACTGAAGAGAGAGGCTCGTGAGAGTAAGAGCTGTCATAAAATGATTGACTTACTATAGAGACTTCTTTCTAGGATGCAATTTATCGAGAATAACGCATGTACCGACGTGACAAGTGGTGCATCTTCTTGACTGATAAGAGTCTAATTATGATAGTATCTCATCTAATACAGGCGCTTGTATATATAAGTACATGTAGCTAGCTGTCCTTG